GGCCCGTGGAGAGCGGGCAGATGCACCTGGGGCTGCGGGGGGATCTTTTCGGGCGGCCGGACCCCTACCGGGCCGTCTCCAGCCCCCGCACGGACCCGTACGCCAGCGCCCAGTTCCACAACTATGCCCCCATGAACGTGAATATGGGCATGAACGTGGCGGCCCATCACCACCACGGCCCGGGGGCTTTCTTCCGCTACATGCGCCAGCCCATCAAGCAAGAGCTGTCCTGCAAGTGGGTCGAGGAGACCCAGCTGAGCCGGCCCAAAAAGAGCTGCGACCGGACTTTCAGCACCATGCACGAACTGGTCACCCATGTGACGATGGAGCATGTCGGGGGCCCGGAGCAGAACAACCACATCTGCTACTGGGAGGAGTGTCCGAGGGAAGGCAAGTCTTTCAAGGCGAAATACAAACTGGTGAACCACATTCGCGTTCACACGGGAGAAAAACCCTTCCCGTGCCCGTTCCCAGGCTGTGGGAAAATCTTTGCCCGGTCCGAGAATCTGAAGATCCACAAAAGGACGCATACAGGTAAGGAGAGAGGGGGAAAATAAGTAACGGGGCGTGTGAATGATTCAACAGTGGGAAGGAAAGAAACCCCCTACTATCCTCCCCCTTCCAATCGATACCATCGTGTGAGATCCAAGCCCCTTGGAGAACTGGCGAAAAATATTCCTTCTCCCCGAGCTTGGAGGCAAATGCCGTATTCTTCGTCGTTCTTGAAAACTTCTCACTCGGGGGGTTTAAGTCGTTTTAACCTCCGCCTGTTCCACGAGCGTGTTAATTTCACTCAGCGATACCAATCGCTCATTTCTCCATAACCTAGCTAGACTAAAGATTTCGCCCGATTTTTTTTTATTGGCTCGTTTTTGGGGTTTATAATGAGGCAAAGCAAAAAAATTGAGCGTGGATTGCTTTACAAACGATTTAGCTGTCTGCATACATTCTGTTAAGGAAACTATACAAATGCTAATTAAATCTAATTTTCGGTTACTTCCGTTCTTTTTTAGTCTTGATTGGCACATCTCCTAATTAAATCAGTGATACTTTTGTCAAAGTATTTTTATTTGGAGCTTCTGTCTTCAATTCAGAGCGCCACAAAAGTAAAGTAAAACTAGGAAAGGCAGGAAACCCACACGTTTTCTTGTCTTGTTGGCTACATCTTGTAAAACTGCTGTGTGGTGCTCTCGAATTTATGTAGGTACCCCTCCGCCCTCCCCATCCTAACATCAAGTACTGGTAGTCTGCCTTTAACACTTCGCCTAGCACAACCGTTGCATTTGAAAGAGGCAAATTAAAAGTAACAAAGGACGGATAGAATTTAACTGTAACGTAACAAATCCTATTGTCTGATCTTTTTGTGTGTGTATGGATGTGTGTGTGTGCATACTATCTCCACCGGTAGAAGCTTGGTAAAGGAAGGTGCGGAAGGGAAATAATAAAAAAGAGAAATAAAAGTTTTGATGCTTGGTGTATTTCCGCTGACATTGGAAGAAAAGTGTTTGTGAGACTACGGACGAAAGCCAAGAGAGAGTCTCTCACCCTCTGCATCAAAGTAATTGTTGTAAGCGAGTTGCCAAAGCGATCGATCCGCTAACTGGGAATCGAAATGAACCTTTCCTCTGTAGTGTCCTTTAACCCTTTCTGAATTTTGCAGGTGAGAAACCTTTTAAGTGTGAATTCGAAGGCTGTGATAGACGCTTTGCGAACAGTAGTGACAGAAAGAAGCACATGCATGTACACACTTCAGACAAGCCTTATATCTGTAAAGTGTGTGACAAGTCTTACACCCATCCCAGCTCTCTTAGGAAACACATGAAGGTAATTTAACTCTTGATCGCTTTTCTGGCTCAATAAATTCGAAGCCTGTTCTCCCCTCTCCTTCCCCCTTGTTAAACTACATTTGTGCAACGATCGATGCAGCTTTAGGATGACACAGTTCATCCACTCTGAAAGATTTGTATTACAGCAGTTTGCACTCCTCTCCGATTGATGAAAATGACTAGTGGAACTGTCCCTTTTCACACCTTCTCCGCAGTTCTAGCTGTAATTAATAGCTAGGCCCTTTCAGTAACAACAATCGTTTGGATAAATTGCATTATTTATTTTCTTGTTCCACAGACGGGATAGAAAGACGGTTTAAAACCGTTCTTGAGTGAGTGATATGTAGCTGCAAACGAGGAGGAAATTATTGGAATGTTCTTAAAACATTGACACCACCAGCAAGCAATGCTGAAAATATTTAAAGGATATGTTCAAGTCAATCCGTGGCATTTCCACATCCAAAATCTAATAACGGGCTGGCATAAATGGTGGGGGGGAAATCTTTTCAGACGGTCCGGGAAGGAGAAAACTTGTTTTAAAATTCCAATATCATCGCTGCATGGATAAGTTTCCCATTCTCCAAATAATTTATGATTTGTTGTCTGTATTAGTGTAGTCACATTAGGAAGTGTAAATATTTACCTTGCCTGAATCGTCTTGCGCTGCTTTGTAGTGTTAGAACCGGGCTATTTTGACTGAGCATTATCAGTGTGACGTTATGTGTGTCGTGTTCATTTTAGGTTCATGAATCGCAAGGGTCAGATTCCTCCCCCGCTGCCAGTTCAGGCTATGAATCGTCCACTCCACCCGCTCTGAGTTCTACAAACAGTAAAGACTCTACCAAAACCCCTCCGTCAACAATTCAAAGTAACACCAGCCACAACCCCGGACTGCCACCCAATTTTAACGAATGGTACGTCTAAGGACAAACCAGCCAACCTAACTATAGACTGGACCAAATGAATTCCAAGGAAAACTGAAAACCAATCACACGGAAATGGAGTTTTCACGCAAACAAGCGTATAGGGCTACATCTAGTTAATTGCAATTATCCAGGAAAGGGTTTTAATTTTTTTTGCAAGAAGCAGACGCTGGACTTTTCTCAGGATTGGATTTTTTTTTTTTTTTGGCGTTCGCAGTAATTTCTTTGATTTTTTTTCTCTTCCCTCTGCCAGTTACCGCCCCTTTCCTCCCTTCCTTCATTTGAATACTTTTTAATTTTTATTATTGTCATTTTTTGGCTTTTTCTTCCTTCGGTGGGATGCTGACATGAGGATGAAAATTCTCCTTCGCCTTAGTGGTGATTGTTTAAACTCACATTCTTAAACCGTGCCAAAGTCCTGTTATGTCTTGAACTTCACTTTCTCTTTCACTCTCTCTCTCTCCTTTCTCAAAGCATTATACTTGTGAATGTATTCTCGTCTGATGGGTTCGTCCAGTATTTTTCCAAGATGAGGCTGTGGTGTTATTCTACCCGGATTGTGACCGTTTAGTAAAACAGTTGCCTTTTTGTAATAACTTTTTTTTGTAAATACATATCCATGATGCCATATTTATCGTTTGTAATTTAATGATTGATACGAAGTGCCGGGAACTGAACAATATTTATGGGGGAAAAGTGTTTTCTAACAAAAAAGCAACAAAATCAAACAAAAAACCCAACTCTGTACAGTTTTTGGTTATAACTGCTTTAGCATTAAAAATTTATTGTTTTTGAAAGAACACCATGGAATAGTTTTTGAACCACTCTTGTATTTCCTTATTGCTCATCCAGCACTGGCAAAGTAGCCACATATCAAGGTGTCTGTATCTCCTTCCCAGTCTTTATAGGATTTGCTTCCCTGATGCAGTCTGGGAATATACAGTGTTTCTTTCAACAGGGAAATGAGAGTCGTCTTGCTGTTTCCCTTGTCTCCGCCCTCACATCCCAGTGGTTTGTTTTCTCCTCGAGCTTCATATGTTTGTTATTGCACTCTCTGCAAGCAATCCAATATTACTGATCTGTCCTGTGAGGGACCATGACATATCTCTTTCTTGCACTTCAAAGAACATTTAGGCGTTCCCTGTGTTGCATAGTAAACAGCAGAAGGTAAATCTAATGTGTGAGTTTTATTCTTGTGTGTGGCTCCTTTTTACACTTTTCTGAAAGGCTTGCATGTGTCTCCATAGATGGATAGATATGCCCAGCCATCTAGCTCTGTATACGTGCATTTAAGAGGTTTAGGATGAATCTGAAACAGCTGGGTAGTGAGTAAAAGAATCTAGTTCCATGTGTTTACTTCAGATTAATGTAAGTGCTTCTTAAAAGAATTAGTTTATCCCGGTTATAGGGGGGGGAGGGGCAAAAGGTGGATTTGTTTGGTTGTATATAATCCACCACACAGCTATAAAAATTATTCTATATAGCCAATCACAAGACAACTTCAAAAGTTTAAGAAACAATATAGAAATTAATTGACAAATATATTTTCAAAGCTAATGAGTTGTACACAGATGCTGATATAATTTTAATTAATATCAGTAACATATGCAATTATTTGTTTTAAAATAAAATTCTAACCTGATGCTTACTATATCTTTGGTGAAAGGGAACATCAAAACTGAGCATATATACACACAGTTCTAGAAAACCAACCATCTATTGGTTGGCAATTAATAATATTTTAAAAAATTAAATTATGTTGATCAGTTTCTGCTTTATACATGGGATTTAGGATGGTATGGTTTTGTATTATATTTTTGCTTTAGGTTAATAATGAAGGCACAGTGTGAACAGTGACTATTTAAGAAATGAACAGGAAGTAAAAGCCAAGAAATGGGGAGAAGACTGAGGAATTTCAGAGAAATGTTAGCTTGATAAATTACTATTGGAAAAAACAATAAAGCAAACAAACCAAAAACTACCTCCCTCAACACTTCCCCCTCCAAAATATTTTAAGATTTTTCATCTGTATCATATATTATCTCAGTTAACCTAAGCTATTAATGGATCCACCTTTTGGTTTTCTTTCTCCTGATTTTTGTAAACTTTAAAATTCTCATGTCTAATATTTATTTTGCATTTAGATCTTTGTCTAACTTTGTCAGTTAAAACAGCCTCATTCATTTTTAATAATAATAAACAAAATATGCCATCTTCCCAGAAGTGTTATTTGGAGATTAAAAATAGATTGTATTTCTCTCCCTAAATATATTATTTAAAATTGACTAATTGTAATATCTTACCTACTGAATTTAACAGTGTATGGTGACTATTAACTAGCATCATTTCTATGTACATACATATGATAGAATGCAGCATTTGAAGGTGTATACAGTTCAGCTAAAGTAATGTATTCTGTAAACTGTTAGCTGTTAGAATTTTCCCTGGCTTTAAGGATGTGGGTAATTTAGGACCTTTGCGGGAGGGAAGGAAACCCAGACAGTCCCATCTTGAACTTGACACTCATTGGAACGGCTGAACTGAGAATACTGTTTGTTTACTTCCTGCTTTAAAATGTCTTTTATTTTATGCAGTTTTGATCAAACCGACAAATCGTTTAAAAAACAGGAAAAGTTTTTCAGAAATAAAGCCGGAACTCCAGTAGATTGATTACAATGTTTGACAGGACTGCAATTCCAAAATGAGGGTTAAATTGCCATTCTATTCTCTTGTCCTAATTTTCCCCTTTGAAATACATTTTTTAAATGATTATTTCGATTTCTTTTATGCAGCCAAATATTTCTTCTGCTATACACAGGCAACGGATTTGAAATCCCATTCCATTAAAGTTGTCAACTTTATACAGAGGCAAGTAGTGCTGTGAGACACTGCAAAATACAGAAAAAAGCACAAGGTGAGGAGTTTTGCTTTGGAATATACTACTATTAAAATAAGAAATAAATGCAATAGGGTTTTGCAATGTAAAAAATGCGCTGCGTTTGTTACATTTTTCTGAACCTTTCACAGTTATATTCACACTAGACAATTATACATGTTCTTTTTTTTTTAAATGTTCTCTTTTAATAGAAAAGTGAGGGGGGTTGCGTTTTCCCCTGAAAAATGGATCTGTGGATCTGGGTTTAAGTGAGATAGTAAATAAGAAATGATTTCAAACCCAGTGCTTTGCAGGAAACCTAATGGTGTCCATTTTATGTTGGACTAACTTTGAAACGTTAAGGAGACTTTCCACAGTCGCTGGCCCCAGGGTGCAGGTTGTGTTTCCGATGTTGCAAGGTTTTAGATGTTGAAGGACACTTTGGGGCAGTCCCCAGCTCCGGAGGTTTCCCAGCGCTTGTGAAGCTCGCCTTTCCCTGTCTTCCGAGCTCCAGGGTTGAGCCTACGCGCCCCGGCCGACTCTCCCTGGGATGAAAGGCGGCGGAGTGTCTCTAAAGCGCGGGGCAGTGGGGTGCCGGAAAGGCCAGGGTGCGGCCTCTCTCCTGCCAACACGTGGAGGGGATAGGTAGGAAGACTGCACGTTACAGTCCCCCCACCTCCTTTCCTGCGGGGCGGGGCGGGGTGGTGGAGGCTATTCGGCTAAATCTCTACCCCCCCCCCTCCAAGAAAGGGGCGGGGGATGGTGGGG